ATGTGTGCCAGCGACGACAATATCCGGCCACGCTCAATTTACCACAGCATAGCGCAGGACACCCTCAGGGCATTAAAGTCCTTATCAGTGGAAACGCTCGAGTTACAAGGCTGGCGTCCTCGGGCCAATTTAATGGCCACCGCAGGCGATTCCGTTCAACCCCAACTTAAAGCTCCTTTCCTTTCGCCACCCGTTATCACTGTGCTGTTCATTGTCACATCTCTCAGCCGGGAAAGGCAGTACACAATGGCCCACAGAATCCAATTATGACATAAAAATTTTCGTAAATTGTAAAATGTAAATTTTCGACCCGCTCCAGCCGAAAGGGGGTTTTTCACTTGTCCCAAAGATAAGCATAAGCGGCCAGGACAACGAAATTATTATTTGACACACGTAAATTGTACAAGGGCTGCCGCTTCTGCTGCTGCTAATAAAATGTGTGGCTGGCTGCATTTGCCGTTGACTTTTATTGCTGCGGTAATTGCCAAATGGAGCTTGAATGGGTTGCCGTCGCCCAACATGGATTGTGCTGCCTCCTTCTTGGCGGAACAGTCCTAATCAACACGGACTTTAACAAGATGTGTGGTTGGCATGTGGGCAGTGGGGGCCGAAAGACTGGACGTTAGTCCTAAAAAGTAATTGGCTTATGGGGGAAATGTCAAACTTTGTGACAGGCGGAAAGCCTACCACATACAGTTCGACTGTACCTTCATCAAGTATACCTAAAAACGTGTTGAAACGTGCAGGGGAAGAAACTTATCTCCTTTGGTGTCTTATAACTATTTAAGCATTATTTTTTTATCTTTAAAATTGATTCCAATTCACATTAATATCAGAAAATAATGGAATATCCCAATTGATCTTAAAGCCTCCTGCTGCTATATATAACTAAATAATAATAATCGAACTTTATTCATATTAATAGCACCTATTTGATTTTAGCATGATATTTGTGACATTTCAAATCTATTTTATGTACATTTGTTGATACTAAGCTTAGGAGATATTAAGTCTAAATCAAAGTGTAAATAGTGCAATCACTTCAAATATTAAAAAAAAACAAATTTTTGCGACTTTACAATAAGTTAAACCTATAACCTATATGTTCTTCAAGCCACCCATTTTTCCTCCGTGTAAGTGAACAATATTTATGGGGTGGGCAGGGTCAGCTCATCTATTTTCATTTGAGCCCGCCTGGTATTGCCATTTGGCCGAGTGGAAGCTGCGTTTGTCTCCGGCTTAAACTGTACTGCCATGGCTGACCCAGAAACTGTGGGCCGGAATGCAAGCGCAGTAAGCCAGGGGTCCCAGTAACTGGGTCACAGAGCATCAGATATATATATATATATATACATATATATATGTGTATATACAAATAAAGAGGAGGCGGTGGGAGAATTCACTTGCGCCTGGGTGACCTTGCGAAATTGCAATTGCCAGGCTGCCGAAACAAAAACGCCAACAACAATGGCATCAAGGCCTGCCAGCATACATATGGCAGTAACTGTACTTGGCGAAATTTATGTATGCTGCAAGGCAGGGGAAAATGGGTGGAAAACGAGGAGGATTGTCCCTGCCATTTGCCATTTGAGTCGGGGATGCAGAAGTAAACCAGGTCAAGCGTATTCGACTCTATGTACCTCACTCGAGATGCATATATAGAGCACGGCTGTGCTGGCGGGTATCAGTGTGTACTTTTGTGCCCCGGGCGATGTCGTCCTGTATCTGAAATTTATGCTGCACTGCTTCGATGCCTCGGCCTCAGAGATGTAAATTGGAAAATGACTCAATTTAAGCCGAGCAGTGAGGAGTTTTCCCCAATACGGCGGGCTCATATTTCAGGCCCTTCGACCATTTGAAGACCATTTGACTCTCCCGAGGCACATTTCAATTTGGCCCCCAAAGGCAATCGCCTCGTAAACTGGCCCTGACAAAAAACTTGATGCCTTTCGGGTTGGAGGGGCACGTGCCGTCGGAAAAATGTCCATCTAATAATTTTCCACCAGAAGAGGGAGACTGACAGAAAACTGCGCAAAACGGTAGAAGACACTTCAAATGACCAAAAAAAAAAAACTGCTATAATCAACTTGCCGGGACGAAAAGCAGTTTTTGCCAAGCTTTTCGGGTTGCGATGGCCGTTTGAGTCTATCATTTCCCCAAGGGCAGCAGATATCGGCTGGCGAAGGAGGGAGGGGGGGTTCACATTACTTTTCAGGTATTATGCGCCACTCAAAAGTTGTCGTTGTCGTTTAAGCAGAAAAAAAAGAGCGCTCTAAATGTGGCAGAAGGTAAGCGAAGAGGAAGGTCTGAGCCTTGTGTGTGTTTAAAACGGCGTTTCAATATGGGGAAAGTTGGTAAGCTGCTTATGGCCAGCAAATTAGACATGGCGGCAATCGGCTTTCGAGTGTCGCCGAAATAGCGGTGGCAGATTCTTATGGGAGTGGAGTGTGCAACATGTTGGAGTCCTAATCCGAACAGAGGTAAGCCAACTTATGCATTCGGCCCAAAAATGGGTTAATACGGACTTAGGCAAATACTGTAGCTGAACGCTGAAAGCTGACTAAAAACTTGCCAACAAAGTGCTCGCAAAAGTCCTTCGAGTTGAATTGTGGACTTGGCACACTTTCGCCCTGCTGCTACATAAAGTCGGGGGCTTGGCAATCAAATCGAAGGATAAACTTTGGACCCCGGTGATTATTTATATATGAGCGAGTTCGTATCCCAACTCAGTGCCCGCCGGCAACTGCTGCTCCAAAGTTTTGAGTCGGACTGGAAATTGTGCAAGACTCGCAAATCCAATTGCCAATTGCAGGTTGCATAAACAGCGACAACAGCCGCAACAAAGTAGAAACCAAAAACTCAACTTCAGACCCAGACGTTGCGAAAAGAGACAGATAGAGAGATAGAGACAGAGAGGGAAACACCCGCAGGCAGGGTGAATTTCAATTTCACTTCCATTTCCATTGCACTTGCAAATTGAACACGCACGCAGGCCAAGTGAAAAAAGGCAGGAAAAACAACGAGCGGAGCAGGAAAAATAAAAAATGTACGCAAATTTGAAAGCAATTTCTATTTCCCCAAAAAAAGGAAAAAAATGTGGGGGAAAAACAACGAAACATAGAAAAACGCTGCATTAAACATAATTTTGTTTCCATTCTATTTTCTTTGCATATTTTATGAATGGCATGGGGGAAAACCTTTTCAATTTGAAGCATGCAAGGATTTGAGTGCGGGATTTAAATATTCAATTTGCTGCACACACTCCACGAGGGCAGATGCTCCCACTTTGAATTCCAATTTGCCAGGGAACTCCGGCGGATAACCGACTGAACTTTTTGCTCCCAACTTGCCACTTTTCGACTGGCCTGCTGCCAAAAGTTGGCAAAGTCAGGCCCGAGCAAGTGTCAACGCGTCTAATTGCGAATGATAGCGGCAGCAGCTTTAAGCTGAAGTTTCCCTCTTAACTTTTCCTTTTGTTTTCCCCCAGAATCCGGGCTGGCTTTTTAATTTCTTGCCTGACCCAATTCGGAAGACTTTTCATTATGCGGCAAGGACTCCGGCGAAAGTGTCGCCCCTTTCTCCGTTGCCTGCCTCCGGGTTTTTCTTTTCTTCTCGCTTTTCCTGAACTCCACTCTGTGGCTGCCTCCAGCTTCCTGTTTAGATAAAATGCCAAATGCCGGAAGATTTTTAATTATAATTCTCTTTATTTTACCTCTTGAGTCGCACCCCCTTATCCTCGCTATTGACCCGAACAATAACCCCAAACTAAATGCTGAAGCTAAAGTGAGGGGGATAAAAAAGGAAAAGAAAATATTGTTTAAGCAATTTGGCAGCTTAAATCATTTTAATAATCCTGCATAGCTTAGCGGCGCTTTGGTCGTGACCTGAGCTTAGCGTTTTCCCTCTTCCTGGCTCCTGATTAATTTTGCTTTATCATCATGTGCCCCCGTCTTGTCTTTGGTAATATAATACACGCTTCTTAATTAATTCAATTAGCTTGCGGTTGGCAGTATTTCTATCCCCTGACCCTCCATTGGTTTATTTATGTTGTTCTGCGGCTTTCCAATGTTGGGCAATTGAAATTTGATATGCGAACGAACGGTTCGTGACTCGGCGGAGTCAACTGGAGTTGTCACAATTTGGCACGAACAGGGGTGGCTAAATGCGTTTCGGGGAATGAAGTTTCCCCAAATACATAGTATCCACTTGTAGGGGTTGGAAAACCCAGGAGAGCGACCCCAATTCAATATGATATCGGTCGAATGCAATTTATATACTTAGCCATCGAACAGCCAGCCAAATTTAATTGAAATTCAACGCTGATAGATAGAATATCCGTCGTGTAGACGTGGTGAAACATTTGCATTGACAAGTTGACAACTGCTGGACATGGAAAACAGCGGAATGCAAATGGCCAGGCCAAATAAATGGCCAAGCCAGCTGCCCCATTCGAAACAACTGACAGGGAAAGTGACTAAAAAGGGGAGGTCGAGCGATCTAGTCGAGCTCTGGCCGGCACATGGCAATTTTCATAAATTTTCCTTGCCCGAAAGGCAGTGCCGAAATTTCCGCATTTTTCCAACAATCCACCAGACCAGCAGTCCAGTCCGCCTGATGTAATGGCCAGGGCAAACAGTTCGCATGAATAACTTTCGTAATGACCGGGGACAGGCCGAATGGCAACCTGTACTCCAGCTCCAGCTCCAGCTCCGTCTGGCTGGGACTCAAAAAGTCTGGGCCTGCAGCCGGGCAGACGCGGCGTATGCGCGATGTGCACAAAAGGCGCTTAAATTGCCTTTTTGGCTTCACTCAATGGGTCGATTTTCGTTCGTTAACCATTCAATGCCTCTTTTTTTTTACGACAAACTTTGTAAACCTCTATATACATTTTTGTACTTTTTATTCCTTTCAGCTGAAGTGCTTCTCGTTTTTGTTTCTGTTATTGTAGCTTTGGGCATTAAATGTTTGGCTGTTCGAAAGCGGTTTAAAAGTTAACTTACAGTTTGGATGGTGGTCGACCCAATATGCGGGCTAATAGACTTCATGGCACTCACCTGAAAAGAGACGAGAGGTATGGAATTCATGAAAATTTGCTGGAAAAGTTTTTTGCTTAATGAAATTAAATATATTAGGTTTTTGTGGAAAAACCAGTTAAGGACAAGTTCCAGGTTTTTTGGTTTTCGTGGTACATTCTGCTGTTACTTTTGCTGGCATTGAACGCTGCTCACGCTGAGGCCAGGGAAAATTGTCAAAAAGTGGCACAGCCCATGCCAACCACAACCACCCACTTTTCGCATGTGGCAAGGACAAAAGAAGCAGAGAGATAGCCTCGTGTTCCCATTTCCAAGTTTACCATGTCGGGGTCAAATTGCTAGCCGACTTTCGTGAGCAAACAAATTGAGACTGCCACTGCGGATTGCCTAAATATGCACTGCATTTTCTTTCTGATTCCTATCGCCGGCAAATGCGAGTGTTTGGCCCGGGTTTTTCTCTTTGCCATTTTCATGTTTGCCGGCCGTTGATTAACGATAAGTGCGAGGCATTGACATGATTTCACGAACTGCCATTACTACGGTTAGCCCTAATTGCTCGTGTTAACTGCGGCTAATTACTGGCCAGTTGCAGGATTGCATGGGAAGTCGCTTTTCTGGGAAATCGGATTGGGTTTTTAATTGAGAGCGCCCAAAACAAAAGTCGAAGTCGAATGCATGACTAAGATGCCGGGACCGAGTTATAAATTTAGTTAATTGAATGACTGGCGGAGATGGCGGGCAGCAACAATTACAAGTGCAGTGCGCGTCAGCCATTTGTCATGCATGCGCCGCCATTAATCAAAAGTTGAATAACCCACACCGCTGCCATGCCCCCCTCCCTCCTGTTCCACCCATCGATCCACCTTGGCGCGCCGAAAAAAGTAAAGGCTTGCGATTAAATCAGCCCGCTACTTCAGCCATCGTAATTGTTATTAAAGATGCTCGTGGCCTGACTGAAAATGAAACGAAATTACTCATCATTAGCCGGAGGTGAGTGGGCCGCAGAAAGCGTTGCATACGCACGGCGTTGGCCAGTGATGGATTGCCATTGCCATTGCCCCCCGGCCGAGATAATTGACCTCTAAATATACTTGGGCGACCGTGCGGGGTCGGCGCCGAAAAGTAGGCTAAAAATATGGCACAGCACGGGGCTTCGCCGAAAAGGACGAGTGCGAGGACTTCTGCGTTGGCGTTCGCCTTGGCCGAGGGTCCAACAACCTCGATTCGCGACTGCCATTGACACTGGGCCAAGGAGGCTGGAGCTCGAGCACCAGCTGCCCTGCTGAGCCAGTTGGCCAAAACAAAAATAATGAGAGATACACATAGAAAGGCAGTCAGGAGACGGGGCACGAGACCAGGCCAAAGTCATCGAACGAGTCCGACTCACGCACTTTTTACGCCCTATAAAGAAGCTGGGGTAGTACTAAACTAGTAATTTACAAAACATGCCATTCATTTAAATAATTAGAATTCCTACTTCATTCAACATATTAATTATAAAAGTGAGAAGTATAAAAAGTTTTATTAATTTAAAAACTTAATAAAAAAATTCAATAATTCAACGTTTGTGTTTATATCTTCAGTCTTTAAGTGCTTGAAATTATTAATGTGCTTTTGTGTAATTGAAAAATATAAAATACAAATTGTTTTGTTATCTAACTAACTGTTTTAGCTATGGGTTAAAATAACAATCTTGTTTTCTATAAATTCAGTTGAGGTATTTAAAAGTCGTGCCTCAATCTTTGAGTCTGCTAGCCACATTTCCTCTTTGTTTTTCCTTTCTCTCAAGCAAGTTTTAGCTGTGAGTTATCCCAGCCCAGTTTGAATCCCCGCTCCCCGGCAATTTTATGGCTCGAAGGCAGACGAAGGCGGCAAGGTGCGTTGTCGTCTGCGATTCGGGACCTGCGTGCGAGTGGCTCGTTTCAAGGATCCCCCAAGGCTCCGTTGCCTGTGGCAACTTTTATTGTGTCATTGGCACGCACCGAGGGCAAAAAGTTAAATCTTAAATCATAAAAAGCCCCGCTGGCAGCGGACTAGGCAAACATTAACACCGGTGGTGGGGGGTTGGAAAAGGATTTGGCTGGTTATTGTTTTGTTTAGGGAAGTTTAAGTTTGGGCTTAAAAGTCGGAGGGCTTAGTTTTGGCTGGCGGCGCATAAGAGTTATAAACATCAAACATATTATGGCTGCGGCTGAGTAATTCCCTTATCTGGCTGCCACTAATTGCTGCCACCGATAAAAGTGAAACTGGCGGGGTCGTGTCCTTGCCACGCTCGTAAATTCTGCCACCCACCACACCCACTTTTCCGCCCACATTGGCGAGTTGAATAAACTCCATGAGTTTTCAACAGAATCACGCATTATTTGTGTCTGAGTAATCTGTGTGAGTGTGTTTTTTGGAGCGTGCGCCTGTATTTTGCGTTTTGTCAAATACGTCTAGACATCGAAGGTCATTTTGAAGCTAACGGTTTGGGTTCCAGGGTGAAAAAAAACACGAGAATGGAAGAGCAAGCACGTATCAGCAATGACCTCTATAAGGAAATTCTTCGGGTTCCCATTTCAGTCCATTCTATGCCATTTGCCTTGCAAATTGCCATTTTTGTGTCATTTGATTTGATTTGTTTCTGTCCCATTTCGTTTGCTTTGCTTCACTTTTTTGCGCCTCGTTCACTTTTTGATGTTATACTATACCATAACTGTATTATACTATATGTTTTACTGGACTGTTGCTGTTGTTTTTGCATTTGCAGCCGTGTTTGCCGGTCAGTCGAATCAAGTGAAGCCTGGGCAACGTCTGCTGCAAAAACGTGACTAACAAACGGCTCGTAAATAATCTTTAACCGCTTGCCGCCGATCGCCCCTCTCTTTCGCACACCTTCGCCCCATCGCTCTCCCTCTCTCTCCCGCTTGTGCAAAATTTTGCATTTTAATTGCAGTTTTCGCCTAAGCGAGTCAATGAAACCTTGTCAGAAGATTAAACACACTTTAAAACGGTTGATTTTTTCGTGAATATTGAAAGGTTAGGCTGGGTCGAGCGAGTAAGGTAGTAGGATGCTAACTGAAAGAGATAACAGGAGGGTGGAAGAAAGAGACGGTCGCATCGAACACCTTACGTTTCAATCGCGAATCGTAGCGTATCGCTTTTGTTTTGTTTTTCCTGGTGTTTGTTTCGTTTTAAATTAAATTTCTTTGAGCTTCAAGTGCATTGACTCTTCGCTTTGTGATTTGAATGTTTATAATTTAATTAAACTAAATTTAATTTGCATGTTAACGCAGTTAATTGTAGTGTGAACTGCACATGTCCAGTGCAATGAACTCGCGCAAAGTGGCTGCGGTTTATTTGCGTTTGCGTTTGCGATTTTTCGTCTGGCATCAGTACATTATTTTCGCCGTTCTGGATGAGCTTATCAAAGTTCGTCTGGCGAGAGGAGACTTCTAAGTCTAAGCAGCGATTTTCACACTCGACTGACGAAAAGTGCCGCAACGACCTTGATGACAATGAACTCGCCCCACCCCATAGCTGCTTTCAATGCCACTTCCATTTCCATTTAACAATAAGGTATAAATATAAACATTGTGTCATGCGAGTGCTTGAGTTTTTCAGTGCATATAAAAACATCTATTTTATGGCATGCCACTGATAAGACAGTCCACGAACAATTTGCATTGTAAAGCGAAGAGCAAACAGAACTATTCCAATTGTTTACCCACTGCTCGCCGGCTGCCAAGAAGTCTGCCAAAGGTCTTCCGCTCTTCCAATTCCATAACAGACCTCCACCCTTCCACCCACACCCCATTTAATCGGGTTTGCGATAAGTTTCTTTGTTTGATTGGCTCTGCTTTTTTGAAATTTCGTATGTATAGATTTCTGTGATGTACGGGGGATTAGTTTGGCTTACTTTCAATTCTGCCGTTTCTAAGCACAAAGGCAGCCGGTGCAGAAACGCAGTTTTCCCGAACTGAAGGTCAAAATCAGATAAGAGCGCAGTAAACTTCGCTACACTCGTCCCTTATCTTCGCCGATCAGCATGTACGTATTTTGCCAGTTCAACGTCTGATTGGAAAACTTCAAAATTCATTCCAGATATAGAAGCAGATATAGGGAGGGCATATGCCCGATTGCAGGTGCGCCGAATATATTATTAAAATTAATCGATGCGGGAAAGCAAATAAGAACGGGGTTCATTTTTGCCGCCCTCGCCAATTGACAAGCGCTACAAAGAATTACATTGCCCTGTATCATGCCATTAATATTGAAACGGAAAATACAAACTAACGAAAAAGAAAATCGGACCCGGTGGCGGAGGTTGAAAACTAAATAAAAAATCCTCCTGGCAAGCATGTCAGTTAATAACAGCGTACAAATTGTGGCAGATGACAACAGCAGGCGGGCGGTTAGGTGGAAATGATTGCTGCAACGGGGAATACGAGAATGGGTACGAGTACGAGTACGAGTACGAATTCGAATATAAATGCATGGAGGCGACTCGGCACCCTGGCACCTGGCTCCTATTACATGCGCACTGCATTATTACAAAAGGCTCCAACAAAAAGGCAGAAATTGCAAAATAAAAGGTAATATTAAAAGCGGCAATTTTCCGCGGCAACAGCAACAGTAACAATTGCTCCGGGGCACCTAACCCAGCAACAAACAAACGGCAGAAACGGCAACATTGGTGAGTGGAAAAGTTGCCTTCGTTTTGCGTGCCATATGCGAGTTGGAAAGGATTTCCGGTTTTGTGCCGTGGCCTTTTGTAAATTGTTTTGTTATGAAAATGCAGCGAGCGTCGATCTCAGCTAATGGCCGGTTCAATATATTATTTAATATGCAGCGGTAATGGTCATGTTTTATTTAAGCACCCCTTCCCCAAAGGTTCTGCGGGCGGGGAACTTAAATGGAGCCCTGAATCAGCACCCCTAAGCTGTCCTGCCAACCTTTTGCTGACGATAGGAGAAATGCAATAAGTCAAGACGTCGGGATTGAATCAGGATCAGAGCCGGCTTAGGTATACCGGCATGGTA